ACACACCACCCCCACCACTTCCAACCCTGGCAGTTTGAATTTTAGGTATTTTTTATGTCTTGCAATGAGAGTCCCAAAATGTCTTGGGATGGCCTGACTCGGAGAGAGAGAGAGAGAGAGAGGCTTTTACAAAGATTTTTTACATTATAGTTGTTCTCTGTCTTCCCATAGTTCTTCCCCCAGAATATTATCCTAACTCCTGTCCTTACAGGGGTGTGAATGTAAGGTCGATTGCCACTGTAACCTCCTCCTTTTGTCCTGAGAGATCTGATAGTCTGAATAAGCACTCTGGCTGAATTCCTTCCTAAAACCAGTTGCTGTTGAGGTGTTCTAACTCATGGTGACCCCGTGTATGTCAGAGAAGAACTGTGCTCCATAGAATTTTCTTTTTTTTTTTTTTCTCTAGCCCTTAAGTATTTTATTTCATTTCTGTGTTTTAGTTGCCACTAGTCGGAATTGACTTGATGGCAACTAACAGCGTCAACAACTATATTGGTTAAGACTTCTAGTACACTAGTGAACAAAGTTGTGATAGTTAGCAATGATAGGGTTTTCAATGGCTGATTTTTAAGAAGTAGATCACCAGGCCTTTCTTCTGTAGGTGGACTTGAACATCAACCTTTGCTCCACCCAGTGACTCCAGTTCCTTTCTACTTGAGTGGTTTTTGTTTGTTGGTTTTTATTTTTGGACCATGGCTGCGATGGCTCCTAAGCTGTTGTATTCCCAGCCTGTATAGTAGATCACTTACCCTAGTTCCTAACGAACTGTAAGTGGTGGGGCCAGAGGAGAGCCATACTGCTTACTGGGGAAAGAACAGGTTTGTTCTGAGTTCTTAGGATTCTTCCTAATTAATGTCAGGTCTCTGTGCTGTATGATCATTAATATTTTAACTCAATAATTAAAACAGAAATACTTTAACTTTTTCAATTGTTTACATTATTTTTAAGATTCAGTCCTTATTAATTAGAAGCTATTTTTCTGAGTTCCGTGTTTGGGATTTGGCTTGAAAATATTTAAATAATACTTTCTCTTAACAGTTCATTTTACCCATTGGGTTTATGCAGTCAGCTTCTTCTAGAATAGAATTCAGCCTGACTTTCCTGTGTATAATTAGTCTGTCTTTTAGTCCCTTTCCTCAGAAGTCATTTTGGAAAACAGCAAATTGCCAGAAGGAGTAACAATAAATTATAAATCTTACTGCAAAAATGGGGTGAATGGAACAGGGGAAAATGGAAGAAAATGCTCCAATATTTCCATTGGAGATGAGGTATGTTGTATAAATACTTTCTGAAGAAAAGAAAAAAATAGTGGTTTATAATTTTTAAACATTTTAAAAATCAATTTTTTTGAAGTATTTCTTAGTAAATTTAAACTGCTTAGTTGTTAACTTAATCTCTTTTTTTTAAGGTTCACTTTGAAATTAGCATAACTTCAAATAAATGTCCAAATAAGAATTCTGAAACCATTAAAATTAAACCTCTGGGCTTCACTGAAGAAGTAGAGATTATTCTTCAGTTCATCTGTGAATGTGAGTGCCAGAGTGAAGGGATCCCTGAAAGTCCAAAGTGTCATGAAGGAAACGGGACATTTGAGTGTGGAGCTTGCAGGTAAGCTGGGAGTGAGCGGCTGGAGAATGACAGAAGAGAGGTGTGTTGGCTTAGAAAATTGTAGGCAGGCTGTGTTTTGGTGCATCCAGAGAATATCTGTCTATTTGGAGCACATAAATTAGTTGTTCCAACGACTATTGCTCACCCCAAGATTAATCTGGTGATCTTATATATGATCTTTATAGAAAGTCCATCTCTTCCTTTTGTTCTTCAGAAGACCGCTCCTTATTCTAAAAATGAAAGATTTTTTAGGCATACAAGAAGTATATTTAACAAACTGTTACGGTAACATTTGAATTGTTCTCTCATATAATAATAACAATCTGAATTTTTTAGAGCTAGATACGTTTATATGAAATTTATTTATAGAAAAATGTTTTGGAAAAACATCAAATTGATAATGGAGATTTTATCTGGGAAATGGAATTGGGAAGCAGCAAAGGATGTCCACCTTCTACTTCATATACTTCTGTGTTGGAATAATTTTTTTAAAATATACTTTGTAAAATTAAAAAGAATAAATTATTTTCAGAATATAGAATCTACTAACAAAACTTTAATCAAATTCTTTTAAATTTCATTTTCACACTGCGTTTACTTTTTAGTTAGAAAATAAAACTGAATATATTCTAAATAGTTTCCTTAAAAGAATAGGAAGTGGAAGAATATTTTGATCTAAATGTCAGCCCCAAATCACTAGGTTTAGAAGGATTATTTTTCTTGAAGAAAATAAATGGCTATATTTCACCATCAATTACTAAATGTCTGTTCTAAATAGTAATTTAAATGTTATTTTTTATTTTCCATGTTATATATATACTTCTGAGTCATGTAGATCCACTTTTAGTAAAATGTCATTTAACCAAAAAGACCGTCTTGAAAATGTTTTGCCTTTCTTCCCTTTATATATTTACCAGAGATATAATGAACCAGTGTATCTAGTGAGTGTCCATGAGCATTAGGTGTTCCTAAAATACCTCCATACACTTTTTTAGATGTGTTTATTGTAGTTTTTCAGATTAATAATTGAACCATTGCTCTAAATTTAGAGGTACTTCACCTGTGTATGTGGAGGTTAAAGTAAAATGTATTAGCATGTTATTTGAAAATATAACTTTATTGCTTAAAAATAACTTTATGTTGTGTTCCCAGATGCTCTGTTCACTGTTGCTGGAGTATATTTTCATCTTGATCAAAGTGGTTATTTACAGAAGAAAGATTTTTTTCTTAGGTCCTTGCATATATTCCATGTGCACTAGGCTGTTGTGTATGTGTGCATATGGACATTTTTGCACCTGTCTGCCAGGGGTGAATGTAATATATAAGTAGTTTGAAAAGATTGTTCATAGTGTGTGTTCCTTTCCCAGTCTTTCTGACAGTATTACTTAGTCTTTTACATTATTTTTATTTCATGTGAGTGAAATTTTGGTGTTTCTTTAGGTGCAACGAGGGACGTGTTGGTAGACATTGTGAGTGCAGCACAGATGAAGTGAACAGTGAAGACATGGATGCTTACTGCAGGAAAGAAAATAGCTCAGAAATCTGTAGTAACAATGGAGAGTGTGTCTGTGGACAGTGTGTCTGTAGGAAGAGGGATAATACAAATGAAATTTATTCTGGCAAATTCTGTGAGTGTGATAATTTCAACTGTGACAGATCCAATGGCGAAGTTTGTGGAGGTGAGAAAAGAGTGTGAAAACCGCTTATAAAAATGTGATCCCATCTAATATAAAAAATGTTAAGTTTACTCAGTGAATAAACAGAAGAAAAAGGGAATGCAGCATTGTAGGTCAGTCATCCCTTAGTTAAGCTTTCTTCCTTGTTATCACTAATTTGTATTATTAAGTCAGTGCTATGATTTTATATTTTTACCGTTGTGAGAAATGATACTTTTAATTGCAGGAAATGGTGTTTGCAAGTGTCGTGTGTGTGAATGCAAACCCAACTACACTGGCAGTGCATGTGACTGTTCTTTGGATACTTCTTCATGCATGGCCAAAAATGGACAGATCTGCAACGGACGGGGGATTTGTGAGTGTGGCACCTGTAGATGTACAGATCCCAAATTTCAAGGGCCCACATGTGAGATGTGTCAGACCTGCCTTGGTGTCTGTGCTGAACATAAGTAAGTATTTCTGAATTTTTGAAATAATTGATTTTTACTCTCTGCTGAGCTAAATATGTGTTATCACTAAAGCCAGAACAGTGCCAGTGTTAGGTTACACTATAAAATAGCTGCCCCTCTGAAACCCACTCTTTAATTCATAAAAATTCTTTCTCAGTAGCTAGTCTAATGTGTGTTACATGATACAAAAGTATGTCATATGAGAGCTGTACCATTATTTTGATTTGAATTTGCTATATAATTGAATTTATATTGCAGCCTTTGTTAAATTGGCATTACCAATTGCTTAATTACTATGTTTTGACCAAACTAAACAAAATTGGAGGTTTTTGCCTTTGAAGAATTACTTTTGTATTAGTACCATACTATTTTAGTTATTATCACTTTATTATGTATTTAATATCTGATAAAGCTATTTTCAGTTTATTACTCATGTTTTTTTTAAAAAAGAACTTTAGCTATTCTTATTTCTTTACTGGGATTTTAATTGGAACTGCAGTAAATTTATAATTTCATTGGAGGAGCTAGCATCTTTATACCTAGTTTTCTCATCCAGAAATATTATATGCCTCTCCATTTATTTTTCTTTCCTAGTTCTTGGTTCACTTTGGCCATATGGGTCTAGTTCTAGCACATAAAATAATGTTTAAGCAAATATTTATTTTAAAATATTTTCAAATCTATTTTCAATGCAAATTTGTGTTTTAACAGAGAATGTGTTCAGTGCAGAGCCTTCAATAAAGGAGAAAAGAAAGACACATGTGCACATGAATGTTCACATTTCAACCTTACCAAGGTAGAAAATCGGGACAAATTACCTCAGCCAGGGCAGGTTGATCCCCTGTCCCATTGTAAGGAGAAGGACGTGGATGACTGCTGGTTCTATTTCACATACTCAGTGAATGGAAACAACGAGGCCATTGTTCACGTTGTGGAGACTCCAGGTATGAACCTGAGCGTTTCAAACATTCTTTCATTTTCTTTGGTGTCTTGTTCCCTCATATCCAAAAACAGCCTCCAGTTGGGTTTAAGTTCAATTTGGGAACATTTTTATCTCATAAAGCGTTAAAATTGTGTTTATTAACTATATGAGAAAGAAGGAGAAAAGAAAGCAAGTTTTAAATATCATGAGTACAGAGTTTGAAGATTAAATGAGATAATCCAGAAAAGGCACTTAACACAGTGCCTGGTACTCGATAAGAGTTCTGTCAGTATTGATAATATTACAATTTGAGCTTGATTTAGACTTGATACTGGGAAAGACATTTGTTAAAGGATATTTTAAAAAGCATTGAATTTGTTCAACTTCTTTGGGATTTTCTACATTTATGTGTAGGTTTTTATGTGAACACGTTTTCATTCCTCCTGGTAAATACTAAGAGTGGGATTTTGGGGCATATGGTAGGTGTATGTTAACTGTATTAGAAACTACCAAACTGGTTTTTAATGTCTCCCTACTATTTTTCATTATCAGATAACATATTATACCAGTACTGTCACTCAGTCTGTGCCTCCTTGTCTTTTCATTTTCTTAACAGTACCTTTTGAAGACCAGAAGTTTTAAATTTTGAGAGTCCAATTTATCAGTTTTTTTCTTTATGGATCTTGCTTTTAGTGTTGTATATAAGAAACCTTTGTCTAATTAAGATCGTAAGGCTTTTTCTCCGGTGGTTTCTTCTAGATGTTTTATAGTTTGATTATAAATTTAAGTCTGTAATCCATTTTGAGTTAATCTTTGTGTATGGTGTGAATGAAGTATGGGCGGAGGTTCTTTTTTGTTTTTGCATATGGATGTTCTAGCATCATTTTTTTTTTTTTGAAAGACTCCTTTCTGTACTCTTGTTGAAAATCAGGTGACTTTGTATGTGTTGGGTGTATTTCTGATGATATTCTGTTCCATTGATCTGTGTATGTGTATAAACCTTTGGCCCATGCCACATTGTCTTGATTACTGTAGCTTTATAGGAAGTCTTGAAATCAGATAATCTGAGTACTCTAACTTCATTCTTTTTCAAAAGTGTTTTTGAAACATTTTTCTATTTCCTTTGCCTTTCCTTGCAAATTTTAGAATTAGCCTGTCAGTTTCTACAGAAATCAGTGTTTTGATTGGAATTGCATTGATTTTATAGACCAAATTGGAGAGAATGACATGTTCACAATATTGAGTTTTCCAATCCATAAATATGGTATATCCCTCCATTTACTCAGTTCTTTGATTTTCTTCATCAATGTTTAGTAATTTTTAGCATTCAGATCTTGCACGTTTTGTTAGATTTATACATAATTATTTCATGATTTTTGCTGCTATTGTAAAAGCTACTGTTTTTTAAATTTCATTTTCCAATGTAGAAATATATAGAAATTTGAATTTCGACTGTATAGAAATAGTTGATTTTTGGTTACTGACCTTGTAAGCTCACTTATTGTTCTGGTAGCTTTTTATAGATTTTTGGGGACCGTCTACATTCACGTAGTTTGCATTTTTATTCCTATTGATTCCTTATGAGCTACTGCCTATCTCTTTGGATTATGACCATACATTTCTCATTTAATTGCTTGTGTGCTTATTCTTTCCTTTTTATTCTCCAGAGTGTCCCACTGGTCCAGACATAATTCCAATTGTAGCTGGTGTTGTTGCTGGAATTGTTCTTATTGGCCTTGCATTGCTGCTGATTTGGAAGCTTTTAATGATAATTCACGACAGGAGGGAATTTGCTAAATTTGAGAAGGAGAAAATGAACGCTAAATGGGACACGGTGAGTTGTAAAACATCTAAAAAGTAAGGTGGTTCATAAAGGAAATGTAACTGTTTAGTAACTCTAAAGCTGATTATTAAAGTCCTCTTTAAATATTTTATTCCCCAAAAGTTCAATATTTAGAGAACTTAACATTTAGTGAAAAACAGAAAAATCTTAAATATATCCTACTGAAACAAAACATTGTAAGTTTTATACACATTATAAGACATTGTGCACATTTTCAGAATGTATCTTCTGGTTACTGTGGCAAATATTTTTATTTCCTTAGTAATTTTGGTCCTAAATCTACTCTTCTGCCTTTTCATCTAATATAAAATAGGATCCTAAATAATAGTATCTATGTAGCAAGATACTCAGTGGAAGGCTTCTCTTTTATTAAGAACGTAGTAGAAAGCAGCCAAGCTCAAAGGCTACATGCTGTGTGATTCTATTTATTTGACATTCTTGAAAAGGCAGAACTGGGGGGCAGAAATCAGACCAGGGTTGTCAGGAGCTGGAGTGGGTCAGAGTTGACTCCAGAGGGTCAGGAGGGATCTTTCGGGGACGATCCTGATCGCGGGAGTGTTTGTAGATTTGAAAACTCATTGAACTCTATATTTAAAAAGGGTATATTTTACCCTATGTAAATTATTTCTCAATATAGCTTGCTTTATAAAAATTTTCAAATGAGCCTTAAGTGACTGAAAGTTTGTGCTAGCACTTTGTGCCAGCTTAAATAAATAGACTTTGAACTAAGACATCAGAAAGTGGGGTGGCCACGTTGGCCCTCATGTGTCCATCCTTTGATACAGAAAGCAGTGACAGTCATCAGTATTTTCTATCCTAAATGAATTTTAGTTACTTGCATTTCACTACAATTAGCTTGGGCTTTTCTTTATTTCTAATTATGAATTTCAGAAGTGTAGAAATAGTAAAAACCCTTTAATAGTGTTTAAACATTATAAATGTCAATTTTCTTTCTGATGAAATCATTAGAAACTATTTCTTTTACTTCAGCAAGAAAATCCGATTTACAAGAGTCCTATTAATAATTTCAAGAATCCAAACTATGGACGTAAAGCTGGTCTCTAAGTCGCCGTTCGTATTTTCTTTCACTTTCTGTCTTTGCATGTGAACTTTTATCCTTTTGACTGCACTGTGTGTCCTTTATCACTATTACTGTTTTTTAGAAACCTGGCTTTAATATGGCAATATTGTGGCTTTTCTTTCTGTGTGTTAATTTAGAGTTAGTCTTTAGGCAGGATTTAAGTTATCTGGTATGGAAGCGGCAGCTATGGTGTCGTGAAAGAAGAATGTGTGCTGAGGTCATACAGACCCAGGGCCATGTCCCAGCTCTTCCACTTAGTAGGATGCATGGAGTCACTTCACTTCCCTGAGCTTCAGTTTTTCCCGTCTATACCATGGAGTCAGTAACTCTGTTGTATGAGGTAGTTGCTTTTGGCAAATGTACTACAGTCTGTGAAATCAGTCTGTCAGCTCTAATCCTCACTACTCTGCTCTGCTGTAGGTGGTGCTGTCCTTGTTATACTATATGTAAATTTTAGGGTCGAAAAGTGAAAATTGAACATGGAACCCAAACTACAAAACAGGAAAATAAAGCCTACTATAGCATTTGCATAATATACAACTGCAATCCATCGTTGGTTTAGAAAGGTTTTGGGATCCTGTAATTCTTGATTGTAACTTGACATTCATTTAAAACCAGAAGAGCTTTGCTTTCTTTGTGTCTTATTTCTTGTTACTCAATTATTCTAATTTTCAAATCTAAGGTTGAACTTTTTTTTCTTTTAAGATAACAAAAACTAAAAGAAAAAAGTCCTAATTACAAATAGTTTACAGTTTAAAACATCTGATTGATAATTTTACAGTTGTAATAAGGCTTGCCTGTTCTTTTTTCTAAACTAGGGTGTTATTTCGGTGAATGTATACAATACCTGGGTGACATGAAATGCTTCCAGCATGTTTTAATGTAAATCATGTAAGCACAAAAACTCTGATAAAAATATCAGTTGGCGATTAGAACCAAATTCTCCTGACTGGTGATCCAGCACTCGTCTTTTCTTTCTCAGCTGATTGGATGTGACTTAGTCTGTTAACGATTGAGTTTTCTCCCTTCCCAGCTTGTTGTGCAGATAGTGATGTTGGTGGTAATAATTATAATAACACTAATAGCAAAGACATGTAATACTGTGTCTCAGGCACAGCACTACACACTTGGCCTGTATTTAGTTATTCTTCATAGTGATAATAGTAAGAACTGTTTTTATTCCTAGTTCACATATGAGAAAACCGGGGTATAGAAGGGTCAGGTAACTTGACCAAATTTCTCATAGATACTTTGTAGGGGAGCTGAGATTCAAACCCAGGCTCCAGAGTCCGTGTTCTTAACCACTGCGTTGTACTGGTAGCAGTCACGCATCTTTAAGAGCCTTTCTGTTGCCTGGTTAGGAATAGGTAGATTACTCTTTATAGAGCATTACAGCTTTTTGGCATTTGTGGAAACTTGGTGCGAGTAACGTTACTCTTATGGGCAAACGTTGTAATGGGGAAATGATTTTGTTACCTAAAACCCAACAGTACAGTCAAGCTTACTTACTCTATTGGGAGTATAGTTATAAAATGGTAAATGAATAAGAGCCTAAAATAAAAAGAACATTTAATAAAGGGATATAGGAAGTACTGATAACACTTGAAGATATTACTGGTCAGATTTTCCTTTTATTTCTGAGCAGATTTTGAGACTTTTTAAACACCAAAGTTAAATTTGATGGCAGAAAACTAGTCAGGTTCATATATGGGCAGATTGGTCCATTTTTGTATTAATTTGAGACTTGACACATTCTTTTCTTTCTCACTTATGAGTAATTTTTAGGGGAAAACTGATTAGCCAGTGGAATTGCTGGCGTTTTTGTTTTGTTTTTCAAGTCATAAACAGTCAAATATTGGCAATTTCATGTGATTCTCATATGAGAAAAATTTTATTTGTCCTGATGAAAGGTGAAGTTTTCATTCTTGCCTGTACGTTTAATTACACTTTGAAACAAATTGGCAATAAATAATTAGTATCAAAAACTTAATGTTTATATTGTTAACTTAATTTTTGGCTAACATATTACTGCTTCAGCCAAAATGAGCATTTCATGTAATTCAAGAAGCAAAAGTTTGGTAAAAGTTTCTTTATTCATTAGTAAAATACAGGTAAATTAACAGCTACAGATTATTCTAAGAGATTTTTCCCAAGAAAAATTAAAGTAGAAGTTAATAAGCATCGAGAAACTAAAACTAAATAATGGATTGTAGAGCACTTTCTGATATGGGACAGAGGTTTGCCAGTCAATTAATTACATCAGTAACAGATTTGGAATAATGGGCAGACACTGTAATAATTTCAGCATAAAAGACTACCTACTGTATAGGGACACTTAAAAAAACACATCATATTATCAACTTAAAACTCTTAAAAGTGGAATGAAGAATGGTCTGATCTATCCTCTGGTCTAATCTATCCACTTAAATGTGGATTCATCTACTCCCACAATTGTGCATTTTATTTTATACATAATGTATCAAGAGATGATTCCAGAGCCACCAGTGTTAGCCCAGTCCCAAGTGGAAACAAGGATGACATCCTACTGAGTTCAAAGGGCTTCATTCAGAATGTAACCCTGTTCTCTTAATTTAAATAAGCTTTGTGTTTTGTTGGGGTAGGTGAGGGGATTTGCACTGTGAATGATGGAAACTAATCTGAATTATTTTAGTTTTCTTCGATTTAAAATGATGCCTAATGCAGATAGTGAGCTTAAGTTTACCTCTAACCTTGCATGTTATGTTAGACTTTTGTTTGGATTGACTTTGAAATAATAAATACAAGTGTTTGTGTATATGAAAAGGTAAACTTTTCTCCAAAGGTAAGTTTCCCTATCCCTTAACTTTGCATATGTTGCTATTCACCTTTCAATAATTTATCTGTAGTCAGTTTTGCTTGTGAAAACATCCTTAATCTTCTCCAAGTCAGTTACTTTTTTCTTATACCATTCCCATATTATACACATAATTCTGTGTTTTATAATATCAGAGTACCTTGATTTATTTTCATGTCTGTCATCCACGAAACTATATCTACCTTGAGTGCAGAAATTATGGCAACCAAAGCAGATTCAAATAAATCTGTAGTGAAGGGTGAATGAAACTTAAAAACAAGAATTACTTTCTAGATATAAACATGGTTTTAAATCACTTGCAGATGGTTTTATAGTGAGATATAAAACTAAACAGCATTTCCAAACCATCTCTTAATGCCCTGATAAATATTTTATTAAATTGGTACTTACTGCAATTTCTTCTGATAAAAGGTGGTAAGGCCACACTTGTCACTGGGCTTCCAAGCCTACTTTCAGTTTATGAGAAGGAGAGAAAAGAATGCTATAGTCGATATTTAAGTGTAGCACTTAGCATAAGAGAACATTTTAAGGAAGTGGTGGTGTTGGGTAGTTATTTTATTTTCCTGTTTAAAACATCACTGTCAGAGTATGTTTTTGGATCCTGTACCTGTCTCATGTCATAGCTTGTAGTCATTTCACTGGGCTTGATATGAGTACTTGTTACTGAAGTATAGTAGTTTAATAAAAATAGAACATCTCACCAGTAAGGTATTGAAGAATGGTAATTATTTCATTTAGAATGGCAATTATTTTACTTAACGTGCTAAGCAAATTTGATACTGTGAATTGTTAAGTACAGGAACAGTGCCCCTGGTGACATTAAGACAATCTTACCCCACAAACCCATTGCTGTTGAGTCGATTTTGACTCGTAGCGACCCTGTAGGACAGAGCAGAGCTGCCCCATAGGGTTTCCAAAGCTGTAATCTTTACGGAAGCAGATGCCACATCTTTCTCCTGCAGAGTAGCTGGTGGGTTTGAACCGCCTATCTTTCTGTTAGCAGCCAAGCTGCCACCAGGGCTCCTTGAACCTTATAAATCAGTAACTTTTGTGGAAGAGCCCCAGAACATCCCCCTTACAGAGATGGAAGCTGAGGATTCCCGTTAATTATCAAGCACCTTCTGTGCACAACAAAGGGATCAGAACCAGGCAGTTGGCTGTAGGAGGGAGAGGGAGCGTTCATGCTTCCTTAAGCCTGCCCCTAGAAACTGCTTCAAAGGAGGGACTACAGGATAGCAGCATGTTCCCTGCTGTGGGGGACATTCTTAAATCAGCCCGTCAGTGTAGGAAGGACTGTAAGAAATACTACCAGATTGCTAGGCACCTTTTCATTAGACTTGTAGAGGAAAGCTTCCTTTCTTGTTTTAGTGTAAGCCTTTATCAATGCCTTTTTTTTTTAATTGAGTGTGGTGTTTGGACGGATAAAACAGTAACCATTTCTTATAATGAATGTAACTGTCACAAAGTGATTTACAAAATAATATGATTTGGGTAGAGTAACTGATCATTTTTCTCACTTTCTTTTAGGGTGAAAATCCTATTTATAAGAGTGCTGTGACAACTGTTGTCAATCCGAAGTATGAGGGGAAATGAGCACTGCTTGTGCAGCTCCGCAACACTGAACGCAAAGTAGCCATTTTCACAGTCACAGTAAACGGAGCTTTAGGGTGACATTACCATAGTGTTACTCATGTGCAGGTGTTGAAAATGTATAGTATGTATAATTGTTTTATTTTTATTATTTTGAAAATAATGTTATAATCAATGCCAGGGACTGACAGGAGACTTGAGACGGGATGGTTTTCCTTGTCAGCAAAGGTCACAATTGTGCCTTTTTGACCTTTTCCTCCTGGACTATTGAATCAAGCTCTTATTGGCTTACATGATATTGCTAAAGTGATTGAAGGGCAAAAATAAAAGAAACAGCATGTTGAGAGTTTTATTAATCGAGTATTAAATTTGATTTTTAGCTTTACAGATAGATACGTCAGGACTTGAGTTTTTTCAGTTATGCAGAATCCAAAGTAAATGTCCTGCTAGCTAGTTTAGAATTGCTTTATTATTTAGCTATTTGCCTGTCACACATAACTGATGACATATGTGAAAGTTGAGTATTTTGGGAGTTACAGGTATAAAATAGTTTTGAAATAGTTGATCTCCAAAGGCCAAGGGAAGAATTCAGACAGTTAGGGAGGAAAAACAAATAGCTTTAAAACCTGTGTGCCATTTTAAGAGTTACTTAATTTTGATAACTTTTACGCCTTCTTTTTATAAATTCAAGCCTTGGATAAGAATACTGGGAAATATTCTGCAAAAAAGCCCTCGATTTATTATTATTTACATAAAGGTCTTAGTTTTTATAGTATTTGCTGAATGGGGGCCTTTTTGGTTAAATTTATTTTATTTTATTCTTTTTATTTTGTTTAAAGCCCGGTGCTTTTTATCACCTTTTCTGATCTTTTAATGTATTTGTTTGTAATTTTGGGGTAGGACTTTTTTTTTTTAATCAGTATCTTTTCTTTGAAATTTTAGCTGTAAATTTGCCTTTTTAATGAACATATGACACGTACTGTAGCTTATGCAACAGCTGTCACTCAAGCAAGTCCTACTTTCAGACCACTGTGTATGTACCTCTCACTGTTGGCGTTGCCCATCTTGTTTCATACTAGCCACATTCTTGTTTAAAGTGCCTTTTAATTTTAACAGTTCACTTTTTACAATACTATTTACTGAAGTTATTTATTAAATAAAAATGCCTAAAATACTGAAATTGGATGTTTTGACTTTATATTGATCTGTTTTGTCAGTTTGTGTGCATGAAATTTTTTAAAGTTTAAGAGGTTAGGAAAAACAATTCTGGTTGGCGGGTTATCCTACTTAAGAAGCTAAAACATATTTCTTGAAAAAGAGATGCGCTTGGGACATAAGGAAAGTAGTATGGTAAAATATAGTCTTTAAGACTACCTTGGGGCTTCCTAAATAACATTGGATAGATATCTTCATCCCCCTGTACTGAGGGGTAGGTTTCATTTTTACATTAAGCAGAACTAATTCTTTATGAACATCAACTTAGAACTGTTACCAGAAGCTGGAAATTACATAATTTTTTAAGATATAGACAGGAGATCGTTGTTTTCTGATAATACAAATTTGTTATACAAGGGTGAGTTAAAAAGTATTGCTACAAAATCATAGAAACCTTTAGTAAAGAAGAATAACAAAATCTGAAGCTGTTGTTTCTCAGCATATCCACCATCTAGGTTTGTACACTTCTGGAGTGATGTTTCCATCTCTCTAACCCTTCCTTGAAGAATTCTGTGCCCTTCGATTTACACCACATCTAAACAGCAGTTTTGGCATCCTTGAGCGACTCAAATTGTATTCCTTTTAAATGTTCTTTCAGTTTTTGGAACAAAAAGAAGTTCGAAGAGCAAAGATCAGGGCTGTAGGGTGGATAAGGTAAGGTTTCCCAATGAAATTCTTGTAGAACAGCCCTTGCTGCCCTCGAAGAATGAGGAGGTACATTGTCGTGATGGAAAAAAATTCCTTGGCACAACTTTCCTGGTCTTTTTCTCACCAATGCTGGTTTCAGGTTTTTTTTTTTTTTTTTTTTTTTTTTAAGACTTCTTCATGATAAGCCCCTGTGATTGTCCTGTGTCCTTGAAGAAAATCTATCAAGAATACCCCATTGGAATGACAAAAAACAGTCGCCATAACCTTCTGAGCAGTCTTGTCTCTCTTGGCTCATCTTTGAGGTCTTTCCAACCTTCTTTAAAATGCTTGATCCATTTAAAAACTTGTTTTATATGGGGCATCATTCCCATAAACTTGTTGCAAAGTTTCAGTGATTTGGGAATATGTCCGCTTGAGTTTTGTTAAAAATTTGATATTAGCCCTGACCTCAAAGTCTTTTTTTGCCCCCCACGGCACAGAAGGTAGCCTTTTTTTTTTTTTGAAAGTGCCCTAACGAGATTAAGACAAGTGTATTACTGAGAGAACTTGCCTGCAGCCATCCACTGATCGCAGAGACATGTTTGAACACGTGTGCTTTGGGATAAACCCATGCATATATGAACCGGAACCCTAGTAGCAATACTTTTCAACTTACCCTTGTATATCCACAAAAAAAATACATGCATAAAGCTTATTGAAAGAAGCATATTCCTTTCTAGAGCACATAACAAATGTTAGAAAGATTTGGGGGGAAGGAGAGGACCATATTAAGTTTCAAATTTACCAGCCTTTCCCATTTTACACTGCCCCCCTATTATGGATTGAATTGTGTCCCCCCCCCCAGAAAATGTAAATCCTAACCCTTGACCTGTGGTTATAATCTCATTTGGAAATGGGTTTTCTTTGTTATGTTAATGTGGCAGTATTAGTACTGAGATATAAAAGAGCAGATGAAGCAAGGAAGCAGAGATGGGGGAGGATAGATGCCAGACCACATGAAGATCACCAGGGAACCAAGAAACGGAAGCTGAAGAGAGAGAGAGCCTTCCCCTAGAGCCTGCGCCCAGATTTCAGACTCCTAGCCTCTTACACTGTGGGAAAATAAATTTGTCAAAGCCACTCACTTGTAGTATTTCTGTTATGGCAGCTCTAGAAAAAGAAATCATTTAAGTTCCTTTGCAACTCAGTTTTATGCCATTGGCCGGTGTAGCTACTAAGTAAATTCCACAAATGTCAATTTTTAAAAATGAATTGTCTATATTTACTCGCCTCAGTTGTAAAGTTTGTTTCTAGGCATTCCATGGAACCATTAGTGTACCTATGGTCAAACACAATGTATTTCACTTATGCATTAAAAAATTATCTTTTAAAATAAATACAAAATAATAAAATAAAGTTACCATAAGCATGACTGTTGAGCCATACTTTATACTTTCTATAACAAAACAGATATAGAGCACATGCTTAAGATTTTTTTTCCTTTTTTCAGCATGTCAAATACATCTTAGTTCATGAATAACATTTCATTGGGTTCTCAAAGTACACGACAAAATTCTCTAATAAGACTCAAAACAACAATAATTTTAATTATGTGACTATATTTGAGCATGGCTACAGTTTAGTCCTTTTTATTCCTGGCCTCTGAAAGATGTGGTCTTCCAGCCACTCTTATTTCTTCCTTAAATCCCCCGTTTCTCTCAGGTGCTAAAGTTTATGTCTTTGGCTTTCATCCTCACTGTTGACTACTTCTCTCTTCCTCTAAGTATGTCCAAAGCAAGATTTCCATTTTTCTCTTTTGCTGGATGAAGTCTTCCACTCTTAAACATGAATGACTCCTAGAGCCCTAGCTCCTAGCATGACCACTCAACTCTACTTCAGTTCCCTCTTTCCATCTGTTGATGGGACATAACCACTCAGCTGTCTACCATCAGCTCAAACTCAGTGCATTCAAGATGGCACTTACCTTATTCTTGTTAGAGATACTGTCATCCTTCCAGGAAAAAATCATCTTAAATTATTCCCAAACTTGGAACCCCTGTGCCTTCTCTCTCACCCTTAAATCTTTATTCAGAATGTTTCTGTAATTTCCCTTGTAATTAACACCCCAGCCTCTTACTTACTGCTGACACCATAGTAGAATGCTAATGCCAGTCAGTTCTACAAAAGGCCGCCATTGAGATCTTAACACATTGTTTCCCTCCCTTTTGTCTCTTGCACAAAAGCCAGCTGTTACTTCCTGTAACAATGTAACATGAAGTATTTACTCACTTCATAGTCTTATCAACTACATATAAAAAATAATTTTAAGTATTTGTAAATTATATGGGTCCTTGTTTGCATTTTCTTAAAATTCATGATATGAATACTTAAGGTTGTCAAATTGATGATGACAAATACCTAGCACTATTCATATCTGATAGCAACAGGTCTTTAAATCTGAGGTGTATTTCTCAGTAAATTAAAAATTATCCTGAATGTCTGAAATTATAAAGACATGATCTCAAATAGGACATCTAAAAATAAGCCTTTTTAAAGCTATTTCAAATCTATCAGCAGTGATAACAATATGTAAGTGGTTACGTAGGTATCTATGCTTATATAAGTAAGCACATATGAACATATGGGTGTGCATGTATAGGTGTTTCTGTAGGCAAATGTATATACGTGTTTGTGTGAGCTGCACATGTAAAATGAAGCACAAAGGACACAGTTATGGATATGTCCTAGACATAACCAAACACCTCATGGGATTGGGTTACTAAGTTTGAGGGCTTAGGACCATAGTCTCGGGGGGCAACTCGGTCAATTGGCATAACATAGTTTACAAAGATAATGTACATCCTAGTTTGGTAAGTGGCATCTGGGATCTTAAAAATTTGCAAGTGACCATCTAAAATACAACTATTGGTCTCTATGCATCTGGAGCAAAAAGGAAAAGATGAAAACTAAAGACTCAGAAAAAAGTAGTCTATAGGACTACTACACAAGTCTAACGCAAACCACGGCCTTATCTAGCTTGAGACCAGAAGAACTAGAAGGTGCCCAGCTACCACTACCAACTGTTCTGACCAGGTCCTAGATAGAATGGGAGAAAAATGTAGAACATAAATTCCTAAAAAAGGCCAGACCTACTGAACTGGTAGAGACTAGAGGAACCCCTCAGACTATCATGCTGGGATACCCTTTAAGCTTGGAACTCAAACCACTCCCAATGATCACCTATCAGCCAAAAGCGTGGGTCATAAAATAACATCATCCATGAGTACTGTGCTCCTCCAAACATCTAAATGAGACCTAGAGGTCAACATTTACCCTACACCAAAGATGAAAAGGTAAGGGGAGTGGGGGGAATAAGGAAGCCTGATTAATGGAAACAACCAGAATGGAAATAATGCGAATGCTGACATTATGAAAAGTGTAACCAATGTCACTCAATAATATGTACAGAAATTGTTAAATGAGAACCTAATTTGCCATGTAAATTTTTTCCAAAAACAAGTATTTAAAAAAATTTTTTTTTTTTTTAAATGAACTAGGACAAATTTTAATGGGGTACAGTGCAGTAAATCAACAAATGTTCAGAAACCATGTATTGGAATATATTAGCCTTTTGAAAGTTTCATTATATCTCAAATTCATTTAAGTTTTAAGAACTTAATCCATTAAAGTAGCTGTTATTTCGTTAACACTTAGGTCTTACAATTGAGTAAAAATGCTGATTCCATAGTTCTACGAAAAGTAATCATAAGTTTAAAACAGTCGCTGTCAAGTCGACCACAACTCACAGCAGTCCCATGTGTGTCAGAGTAGAACTGTGCTCCATAGGGCTTTCAATCGCTGATTTTTCAGGAGATCAGCAGGTCTTTCTTCCAAGGTGACTCTGGGTGAACTCAAACCTCCAACTTTTCAGTTAGCAGCCGAGTATGTTAACCATTGTACCACCCCAGGACTTCAAAACCAGCTGCCCTGGAGTTGATTCTGACTCATAGTGACCCCATGTGTGTCAAAGTAGAACTGTGCTCCATGGGGTTTTCAATCACTGATATTTTGGAAATAGATCACCAGGCCTTCCAGGCACCTCTGGGTGGATTCGAACCTCCAACTTTTCAACTTTAGCAGCTGAGCATGTTAACAATTTGCTCCACCCAGGGATTCCAAATCATCAGGTTAGGTAAAATAAATACAGATCTTGCTTTAAGTGAATAGATACTAGTGATCCTGTTTTGGTTTGTTTTTAAAAAAGTATGATTTAATCTGTAGTTTTATTTTTTCTGAAATTCTCCAGTGATACATAAAATCATAACACCAAGTCATCAA